TATCAATGTTATAGAGTAAATGTTTCTTGGAAGAGTGAGTTGGTGACAACACACAAGCCGGAACGACAACTGTACGGGAAATTATCGACTTTATAGGGAGCACAGACTGGAAGTACACCGCGCTGGTCAACCCCAACTCCGAATGAACTCGTCTCGGCGGTTGCTGGGGCGAGCGTGTTATTAAACTGTGTATGGTGGTGCCGCGCTATCACTGGCCTGACACTCTACGGACAGCGATAACGTGCATTCCTTGCTGCATATATAGGATCCTCGGGATTATCTCCAAGATGGGTACGCATGTGACTCAGTGTTGTTGTGGTTCACCCTAGGCACTTCTCCCTCCAGACGCAGTTGCCATTCCGAAATGGAGCCTCGCTAGGTTGTTAGCGTGGAGCAAGGCACAGATTCTCCGCACAATGAATCCAGGGAATCCGTTTGCATTCACACTTTTGGTTCCAGAGAAAAGCAGATTGAACTCTGAGTTTATATTCCAATAACAGCGATTTACGGCGCCCATTCGAAGCAAGAGGCGATTACGGCTTCCTTTGAAGCATGTGAAATGAGAATGATCGATAATCGCTATTAGGGCCATCTAGCACAATTTTGCTGCAGTTCTGATGTAGCAGTCATGCTCCGCTCCTGTTCTGATGAAATAGATGACAATCTTTAAACCAAGTGATTAACTACTTCACCCCAAGGTTCGCTGTTGACTGGATTCTAATCTCTTCATCCTGTACTGAGGTCCGACGCATTGCAAATTATTCTCGTATCCCTTGGGAGCTATTACTCAGTAGACAGTAGCGACAAGTAGAAATGGCGATGCGAACCATAACCTGAAAATGACGTCATTTAAGCACTGTTACGCAAGGACGTCACTCACTCTGGGGAGTAGGTGATGTAATCAGTCTGTTAAGGAACAATTTGATAAATGAGACCGGTTCACTGAACACTGCGTACCGAGGAGGCCGTGTTTCTCCTGCCAGAGCGTATATACCGGTCAAGCGCTCCTTGTCCAAGTTAGACCATTGGCTTTTCACCATTGAGATACATTGGCGCCTGTTAGCTATGCACGTAAGCTAGGTTCTGTAAGTTGTCCTCCACGGTCGACATAAGTCGCATCTTACCAGCCGACTGAACATTGTGGGCCACGATGATTAGGGTAGTCGCGCACGTAATTTTAGTTAGTTTAGCCGCACACTGTGATGCAGGTCGCACCGCACCAATTGCTTAGAAAAAGTGGACCCCGAGTTGCATCGTGGGGGTGCACGCTAGCTGGGTGTTTCGTTTGCAGCATTGCATGAGTAATGATAGAACACTTGATTAAGGGCTTCAGGCTTCTTGTAATCAGCAGCTTGTGGTGTACATCTCTGCTCAAGTTGTTCAACAACTCCCCAAGGTCGATTGCGTAGAGCTTACCGCTTCCATCGTTAGTGAAGGAGAACTTTGCTGCATATATATGCCTGAATGCTCCCTGGCGGTACCGAGCATTTCACTCGAAGACTTCCACCACGGACGTAGGGCATTAGAATCCACGCCGTTTACTCCTTTATGAATTCAGTGGAATAGTATGAGCACGATGTACACGCTGAAAGAAGTAAGTTCTTTGAAATTTGTGCAAAATATAGCAAGTAAATGATGCTCGTACCACAATGATTATTTGAAATAACACTCCCTGAGGTACGAGGACATGGGCTTTCGCACTGTACTCCCCAGACATAATACACTAAAAGAAACTTAGATGCAGAATCGTACTTCCGCACACTTAGCGGCAACGAGGGTGCTGTACACAGAAGAGTACATCTACAGAAACACCTGCAATATTTGTCTATTTTGAGCAAACCATATGTTCTGGCAAGTTAAGGTACCGTATTTAATTAAGCGATATTTTCCATGTCTCTGTATTTATTGGCCTTAAAAGCGTTCGTCTAAACAGAGTACACATCCGAAATAGTCCCAAAATACGCACTAGACTTAGACATTTTTGACCATGAACTCACAACATTGAGAAAAACGTAGTTTCCGAGAAATCACTTCCTTTCTCCGGATACCCATAGGCTACGGAAATGACGCTAGTCAGACGGTTTGAATTACCTCACTAAATTACAAAATGTAAGTGAATGCCCCTGTGCCGGGCTGCGCCTATCTGTGCTGCCCACCCATACAACAGTAATAATGATGTCTAATCTTAACTAGTGGGTGCCATACCTTTAGGCATGATAATAACGTTACAGTCAGGGTAGGAGAAAGACTAGTGGGGATTCTGGGTACTGTGAATTCCATAGAAAATGGACGGTACCGTAAAAGTTGGGCATTATCTGAAGTAGAACCGGTCGCGCCTGGGGCTGCATGGGTAAGTAACCAAATTACAAGGGCTCTTGCTTTTTTATAGGGGGCGTATCCGATGAGATTGGGTACGGTCGTTAGGATTTGAAAGTGGCGAGCGGAAACAGTAAGAGGAAAAGCATAGCAAGATGCTTTTAGCCTGATACGTGATAAAGAAGCTTCCGTCTGCAAAAATGTAGAACCAGAATAGCGGATCTGTGGTTGCAGCAGAACTGTCACGATCTGACCGTCCAATGTGAACTGGAGCTTGAACCCATCAATGCATCTTCGAGGCCTTGGGCTGTTGGGCGTGTGGCCAGGGTCACGTAAAAGCGTAAGTGGAGATAAGGAAGTGGAAGAATATGCAGTAATGGTGGAAAGGAAGGAATGGTAGCAGGAAACTCAGAATCACAGTGTGCAGTGAGACTGATGGGACTCGCTAGTTTTGCTGCTGGAGCGCAGTTAGGCTTGAAAGTTCCTTAGGAGAAGGAGTTTGCACAAACGCAAACCGCATGGAAAATGATTGGACTGGTGAGGAGTACAAAGCAAAAGTCACCGAGGTGTTTAGATCCAGTGGAAAGTTCAGTAGGCTGTAATGAATGCCTCCCGAAGGCCGCTGGGGCTTTGAACTTCGGAAGTGCCTGCTTTGGACTAGCTGGTTAGCTGATCTCCACTCCAGATGGCCTATGATCTACAACTCCGGGATCACCAAGCGGACCAAGAAAACCTACAATCCCATATTGGTTTCGTTCCAGCTTGTTTCCTCGACCAGGTTGAAATGAATACCGCTGCTCGGTGAACTGCACATCCCCAGCTGAATCATCTCAGATGTGACGTCCGTCGCGGGGCTGTCCAAAAACTGAAGCATGCCGGGCCAATGATGGCACGGTACTGCCATACACATTTTGATAGCACACCCCCAACTGATCCATTCCTCCTCTCAAACGTGCCCTCTTGCCTACTCGTTTCATTGACCATAACTGTCACAATGACATTCATTTCAACCCGTTGGACTACCCGTTCGAATTAAACCACCTCTGTGTTCCCATCCAACATCACCTCTGCACCTGACTTCCCTACAACAGTGCAACCAGTGAGTATGCCTGTTCTCAGATTGCACCATATTTTGAGACTAAACTTGCCATGTTCTCCCAGTTCGAATTATCCCATCTCCACCTCCACTTTTGCTTGTTATGACTCCGGCCATTTACCCAACCGCCCAAGGTCACTCATGGCCATCAATGGTTTTCAAGTCTTAGTTCACGTCAGCCGACTGAGTCTTTGAATTAGTCGGACCTCACGCCTATTGTTCATTACAAGTTGCAAAAGAAACAATACTATTATTTAATCGAGTACCTCCCACTGTTTATGATATTGTCCCCTTTTCGCACAATCCACACTACCCGCAAACCCCCTATCATACCCCAGCCTGACTGTAAACGCATGATCATGCCAGACGGTATGCCACCCACAAGTCGGGAATGTACATTATTACTATTGATTGTGGTTGCGGGTAGGAGAGCGAGTGGGCAAGAGAGCGCGGTCAAAGGGTGCTGGTGAACGATGGCAGCCACGCTATCAAACTGGGTATAGCACTGGCGTGCCATCACTGCACTGAGATAATTCACTTTGTGGACGGTCCAGTGACGGACTTCATGATTGGGGTAGTTGGGCTCGGACGTGCAGTTCTGTGGACAGTGAGATGTTATGGGTTTGCCAGGGGATTCCGCAAGGACAGCAAAACCGATGAAATTTTGCAGGTAGCATTTGTTTTTTGCCCGATTAAGTATCCCTTCAGATGTATTGCACAGATTGCGTGGAGTGCATAACGGCCAAATAGGACGGCAATAGCACGTATTACCGCCGGTTGAAGCTCGGGAAGTAGATGAGAATGAGCCAGAATATGGAAGGCTGCACTCTGCTAAAACGATCAGCGACCGAAAAAATGTGAAACAAAACGGATGCCTACCAAACGTCACGCGTGATCTGCAATGTCACGGTTGTTGGTCGTGTTGTAAGGTTTTGGGTCTGCAAGATGACTAGATAATCCGAATATGCAACTCTCCCACGCCGTTTGTCTTCGCCGGTTTCGTCTAACTTACAGGTGCCGTGGTCTTCGCAAATTACAAGGCTCTTGTTGACAGTGAAAATAAGTCCTCACTGCTAGGGCGAGAAACCAGTGCAAATGTTCCATTTCAATCCAACCACATGAAGGCAAATTTGCACTTCTTTTGAAGGCCCTGGAAGATGCAAAGACGTAAAAGCCTGGACGAAGTTAACAGGGAACTTTGCTCTCCGAATAGATACTTATAAATTTCCAGCTCGGGTTACAATAATAATGTTTATTCGAAACCTGTGAGTGGCATACCGTCTGGAATGATCGTTGGTTGCGAGCATGATCTAGCCCTGTGACTCGAAAATCAGGAACTTCGCGTCGGCATTGGCCCAGCGGAAGGACGGTCAAAGGTTGATCATCCGGGGGTCGTACACCAGAACAATCACATGAATAAAGCTTGCATATTCGTCCATGGTGGATATTGTTATAAAATCTCAGAGCGAGTCCCTTTACGATAAAATGGTTAAGTTGCGGAGGTGACAAACTAACTGGCGAACTGCTGAACAAGCACTCCCTTCGAACTGCCGTAAAGAAAGCCTCGAGATGGCCAAGCGATAACGAAATGGCCTTTCTGGAAATCAAGCATATATCCAAGTCCTCTTTGAACAGGAGCAAACAGCAGATAAAACTGGCTGTCGAGTGTAGGTCCAAACCCAGCTCTCCTTTGGTTCCAAACATTCATAGAACTCAGAGATTGCTTCGGATACCCGCTCTCAAACAAGCAGGCGATTTTAACCTCTACTCCAGCCTGCTTTCACCAAACCATGGCAGACCCATTCGCTACGAAAAACGGTGATGCTCTGGTGAAGCCTGCCCCTCACCCGGGGGTGTACTCAAAATAAACGGAACAATCTTCGAGTATTTTCTCAACGGGCAGGGGAGGAGCCACTGCAAACTTCATAACAACTTCAAAAGCTCTAACCCGTTTTGAGCCAAATTTAAAGAAACAGCTACAAAAACTCCACAGAATGATAATTCACAGACATTCGCCTCGACGTCAGGGCCCAACGTGAAGCCCCCACGCCCATTAATCAGTCAACGAAGGCGACGCCGGTGTTGGAGCTTTTAACTCGTGAGGAATCTCTAATGAAGTGTATCACGAATGACTTTTCTGACAGTGCGAATTATTGGCCTACAGCTCGATTAGGTCAGAAATGGCCAGTCTGGTAATTGATCTAGGCATCACCCGTGAAACTGAAGGCCCGAACCGCAAACAAAAGTGTCTTGCACCTAGAGATCCTGCATATACTTCGTTAACTACACCGAGCGCAGATAGGATAAGAGATTGTACGAACACAAAAGTAAAACGATTAAGGCTGAATGAGCAACGCAAGCATCACCTTGTCGGGAAGCCGCACGAGGAATTCAAGTTGAGTCATCTGAGTAGAGGGCTTTTTATGGATGCCACCATTACCCTTCGGTAGTCTAATCCACCATACACGTGACCTTAGATGGTGTCTTAATGACATCTTGACAACGGAATGGTGCCCAGGGGCCTAAATAACCGAAAAAGAAAACATCAGTCAAAGGCGATTTCAGGAGTCGAAAATTTGGTAACCAAATCTCTAAATGTTGCGATCATCAAAAGTTTTATCCATGGAGGGGGGAAAGGCTGTATCCCTCAAAACGGAGGGCCGGTGCACATGATACCGGAGAGGGCAAAAGCCACTCAGTTGAGCATGGGGCATTAGAAGCTCCCGGGCAGGAAGCAAGCAAGCGCTCCGCAGAGGTCGCTTCGAAGCCTTGGAATCAAAGCCGGTGGAGGACCGATAGATCTGTTAACCTCTCTGGTGGGACGATATGTGATAGCGGCACGTTCCTCAGTTTAGTCCTAGGTCTGAATCTCGCGTTCCCCTCCAAAAGCGACCAAAAGTGCATAAGGCATATTAGCGCCCAAAGCCGAGTCAATAACACTTAAACAGCACATCATATTTATATAATGTAATAGGCGACAACCTTCTGGAAATTCTACCGCCTTCTGGATGTAGCATCGGTAAACAGCTTTTGCTCAACACTGGGTCAGTTCTATTGGTTCCAAACTTTCGACCAGTCAAACCTCAGCTTCATCGGGGACCGGTGAGCGTCCCGAACTTTCAGCCAATCTTGTGTGAGGCAGGCTTCTCGGCCGCAGTAGCGCCGAACTGTGAGCGGTAAAGCAGGATTCATGTGGAATATCGCCTAACACGATACCTCTAAGATCAGGGAGGTTAAGAATCTCACAGGGTGTTTGTAGCTATTGTACGCGGTTTGCACCCAGTAGCCAGTAGGAACAGAGAGATGAGGGCAGCAGATGATGCATTGAGGTCGGTCAGGAAATGGTCTGTATGCAGACGGGTTGGTAGGGGTCATGAATGAAGCAAACGTACATTTACTATGGTACAGTCAGCAGGAGCAGAAAATAGTCAGTTAAGCAGCAGGGATTTCTGAAAGCATTAGCAAATAAGCATCAAACGATGTACAGACGTACAGGAACGGGAAGTCTGTCAGTGTGGTCTGGCCGTATAGAGGGACAGCGGCGCAGAAATAAATCAGTACGTGCGGGAGGTAAGGGATTGTCTTCCGTTGACCGCGCGGTGCAGCAGCTCGTGTCACTTGACAAGTCAGATAGTGCGGTTAGGTCCGTTTGGAACAAATCTCACCAAAAACTATCCGGCAGATGCGGTATATAGGTAATACAAAGCATAGGACCGTCCGGGTACCGGGTTGGCATGGTTGGCAACACGCTTGCCCGCCATCCAGAAGCTCTTAGTCCGATCTCCGGTTGGTCCGTTTTTCTGTTAGAGCGGGCGCTCGAAAATAGGTAGAACTGGGACGGAATTGCAATCAACGACTGGTGGGCAAGAAATACTGACATCAGTTCTTGGAGACTAGGCAGACCCTAAGAAGGGACGAAACAGGGGGAAAACGGGGAACAAGGAAACTAAACTGCGTTATAATAAAAGGGTGTAAGTCACGTCACTCACTGGTATTCAGAAATCAAAAGAAAATTACCACCGTTCATCGGTGATTCACGGGAACAATCAACAGTAACCTTCTTCTCTCCATCTATGAACCAGCAAAAATAGTGTTGAAGTACATGCCTCAGTCTGTTTATATGACACTGAAAGACCGTCCATAACCGCACCATCAAAAAAGTGATTTGCAACATACATCTCATTTTGAAGTCTCAGTCGGTGGTCATTCCTTTTTCCTGACTGACTGGAAGTGCGGGAGGGTGGATGGGGTTCAATTTACCCCCGCTATTCCCGATCATTTCCAGAATCATCCGCTCCGAAAACCAGTGAGTAATCGAACGGACCAGAAGCTACCGAATGGAGAATTCGGTATCTACTATGCTACACCCTTCTTTAACTTGTGCCTTTCAGGTGAATGAAGACGCAGAATGAAGAGGACAATCCTGAAGCTTGGGCAAAAGTCTGGATCTTGCGTACCAATATCTGAATCCGTGATGCTTGAGTTGTATGTTGAACTCTGCATTGTGTTTATCTCGATTCCTCAAGGTCACGCTGGCACAAGGGGCGTTGTTTGTGTTTCGAAAACTGCTCGGTTGTCCTTCTCTGCCTGTCGCATTTACTCACTCGCGATTCGCCACTTACTCACGCACTCCGCGTGCAACTGTGACCAGACAGTGCATTGATCAAGTTACTTGGCTCCTGCCCTGGAACAACGCATCCTGTCGCCTGTTCAGCGTGAAAATGGAGGAACCCCTAGTCCAGCTTCAGCAGATAGCTCCAACCGGGGATAATGCCGAGACGTTGGCTGCACACAATTCTAACGCTCATCCACAGAACAAACGTTTGTCCGTGGAGAGAATTTATCAAAAGAAAACCCAACTGGAGCACATACTGTTGCGCCCTGATTCCTACATCGGTTCAACTGAGAGGAATGTTCAGTCCATGTGGGTTATGGACGAGGAAAAGCAATGCATGGTCTATCGAGATATCTTGTTCTCGCCTGGTCTCTATAAAATATTCGATGAAATACTTGGTATGTACGCTTTATTTTTAACTAGTTGCCGGTAGTAAATGCTGCTGACAATAAAGTCCGGGATCCGACTATGTCGTGCGTAAAGGTGGATATTGAACCGTAGGTTATAAGTTTGACTCCATGAATTTCTTTTTCAGCGAACAGAACATGATTAAAATTTGGAATAACGGGAAGGGGATTCCCGTCGTGCAGCACAAAGTTGAAAACGTGTACGTTCCCACTCTCATTTTCGGTCATCTGCTGACGTCGAGCAATTATGACGATACCGAAAGAAAAGTCACCGGTGGGAGAAACGGCTATGGTGCCAAACTATGCAACATCTTCAGCAAGAAATTCATTGTGGAAACATCAAGTAAAGACTATAAGAAAAGTTTTCGTCAGGTGCGTTGTGTTGCCATGCTTATCGCTTTCTAGGTATGGACAGATAACATGACGAAGACTTCAGACCCGAAAATTTCCCCCGACAAGGGGGATGATTTCACGTGTATAACGTTCTACCCCGATCTACAGCGATTCGGCATGACTGAACTCGATTCCGATACGGTCGCTCTCTTCGTTCGACGGGCTTATGATTTGGCTGCAACCACAAGTGGAGTAAAAGTTTTTCTCAACGGAAAACGCCTGGCAATCAAAAGCTTTATGGATTATGTTGATTTGTATGTCAAGGCTAACAAAGACAATGAAACAGCCACAAAAGTACGTGTGAAACTTTGACTTTTGTTTTATTATGCGTTCGCACTTGATTGGGGAGGCCAACTGAGTAGAGTTGAGTAACTTTTTTCTTCAGCTGAATGCTTATCGCAAAGTGTTATTGCTTGGCTGTTTTATATTTCCCGTTTTGTAGTGACACTTATGAGACCCATGCCCAGCCGGGAGGAGACTGCTCATTGCAACTGAACCCATCGGCGGTAGGCTACCTAGTATGCATATTGGCGCTTGCTATTCATCAAGGGGTCCTCTGTGTGAATCCGCTGTCTTTCTCGCATCCTCTGTCCGGGAGAATGTGACAATACCTCACTTCATATGGTTCATTTACATCTCAACTGTTAGTAACCGTGTTAGCCTGTTGGTTTGTTCTTAGTTGTACGGTAACCGTGCCAAATTTTCGTTGCTTATGGTTAACCTGACATGAAACAATCAACTTGTTCTGATGATTGGGCCTCGGTGCTGCAGTGATCCGAAAGGACACTGGGACTCAGTTGTCTAGGATTCAGCGGTGCCAAGAAGACCACCCGGGGCGGTCCGACAAAATACCACGATCTTCTGTGCTGTGGAAATTCATATTTCCTGGGGACCTGGAAGTAAAGTCGTGCTGCCCTCTGCATTAAGGGTGTGAAGGCCTTAAGGTATTCCCCTGAGAAGATCAGCACGCCCATATTCATGGAGGCAGTGATAGTGCCTTCCGCTGAGGAGGGCGTTAGGAAAGGTCGGCCCCGAAAACCGCACACCGGTCGCCTGACGGTTGACTGATCCTATGGACCGGCTAGCACTTATCAACAAGCTTGCGCAGCAGAATATGCTACCATACGCTGCTTACAATAACTATTTGTAAGGGTGTGTGAGAGTGTATGGGAATCTCCAATAACAAACAATAGTGTCCACTAAGGATATCCACTCTTGCCATTTTAGATTAATCTCGTTATTGAAGAGCTAATAAGGTGAACACAGGATGGTCTTCAAAATTCCGGTTTTCAGATCTGTCCGAGCGATATTTTTGTCGACCTGGGATGTCAATTTAAAAAAAAAGCAGGAAGCACATGCACTGATACAAAATCTGACCAAGGTCCTCCAGTCCTTCGGCTTGTATTTCATGCCCACTAAGTACAGAGTCGTGCTACGGGACTTACAGTCCTTGAACACGTCTCTAAGAATCTACGGAGTGCTACTGGAAACTGTGGAACGAAATGCTCGGAAGTTGCATTAGCTCGGATGGTCGTGTGACAAATGAGATTAACGCCAAATTTGCATGTGCCAATTTGTGCCAGTGGTGCTATCTCGGTGTCGGAGGGCTCATATCAGACGGTGTTATTGTCCGGCTGCGGAACGAAGTGATCAGAAGACTTTTGGTAAAGCAGATGGTACGAAAGAGGAAGCATCCAGCACTCTCGGGTCATGTGTTACGCACGGCGAATTAGCGCTCCGGTAAAAGGTGTTTTTCTCCGTGGCTAATTTAGGGTGATGAAAAGCTAGAGGTAGACGGAATGGGACGTGGCTGAATGAGACGATATTACACAAAGTTTGGATGTTGTTGGTACCATTCGCCCTCCGGATGAGGTCCATGTGATCCTCCCTGAGTTTGGCTGGGGGATGAAATTGCGACCAACCACTCTCTGGCTACCATTTTCTTTTTAGATTGTCTGAGTTTTGGAAGTGTATTCACCTCTCTCCATGCGCCATTTGTTCTTTTCTCTTATAAGACTTTATCAGATAAATTAATACGGTTGCTCGTCGGTGAAGCACCAGTGTTTTCATTCGGTTTTGTCGTCAGTGATGATGACTGCGATCGCTGGTGCATTATTCAATACAGTCGAAATACTTTCAAAAACAAGAGATCTAGCGCTGTTCAAGAGTTACCTTCAGTCGCACTAGGAGTTGGATTTTCATGCCATACTCCATGGTCTCTCGGGCCAGACCAGCCTCCTACAGCCAAGTGGGTCAGGCTCCGAGTCATTGGCTACGAGAAGGGTCCCGCATAGAACTTGAACAACCACTGTCTCGCAGATCAAACTTCTTACTCGGAGACCGCACGCAAAACCTCTGCATCTCACTGTTCTGTGGATTAAAATCCTGAGTCAAAGGTTCGAGATGGGGCACTGTACTAAACCCCCTTCTTCCGCCTGGGTATCCGGGAGTATCATTCGCCCTTCAGTCACCAACATTCCCAACACATACCTCCACAAAGTCGTTCTGATTCATTTGGCTGCCGACCACCTAAATGTTGCTCCGTATCTGGGCTTCTTCCCACTAAAGTAAATGAAAAACCCTTATATTCAAGGTATGCGTTCCTCATTGCTTCCTTCAACGTCCATACTCTGTGCCAAATTGGCCAACAGGTAGATCTTACTGTACGTTGTCTCCGAAACAAGACCCCTGTTCGGTCAGTCACCTCTAACCGCTCGGCACGAACCTAGATTCCTCGCACTTTAGTTTTTGGATGTTAAGTAATCCTGATGTATGCTTTTGGTATCTAGTGTGGGATTTGAGCTTAACCTCCCGGTTAGTTGCGCTTTACCGGGGTGGATTCCAGTAGGTAGCAATTTTTGCGCCGTTTACGGCATCTTGATGCAGTGCACTTCGACAGATTTCAGCTCTGAGGCTGAGGAAGTTTTTCTGCCGTGATTCGTCACGAAAGTACACGTGTCGCGATTTTGACAGATTCATTCAAATTCATTTTTATTTAAAGCTCGGATCGGTTCCAAAGAGCTTCGAGTAACGGCGACGGTTCATAGAGCTAGAAGTTATTCGGTGGATCTTCAGTGTTAACATTAGGTATAATTTCAGTGTGAACGCTAATTCTCTTGGCTCTCAAGTCCCTGGTTCCTGAATACCCTCTACTGACTAGAGTTCATGTGTGATGTTGACGCCTGCTTTAATGCATCTTCAGGCGAAACTACTTACCGCAGGTTTGAAAGCTTCTGGCGACTATCGAGTGACTACTTTGTCTAAGTAGCAAGCCCACAGAAAAAGCCCGACTTAGCAATATGTCTCATGATTAGTCCACTTCGTTTCTCACTTCCATGTTTGGCCATCGTTCTACAGGTTGTCTTCGAAGGTGTTAATCCACGTTGGCAAGTTGCGGTTGCACCAAGCAGTTCGGGTTTTCAGCAGGTCAGCTTCGTCAACGGTATCGCCACGACAAAAGGTGGAAAGCACGTGGATTACATTGCGGATCAGCTGAACAATAAACTGATAGAGATTGTGAAGAAAAAATCTGGGAAATCTGGCGTTCAGATCAAGCCATTTCAAATAAGAAACCATATGTGGTTATTCGTCAACTGTTTGATCGAAAATCCAACCTTCGACTCACAAACGAAAGAGAATATGACATTGCAGCCGAAAAGTTTCGGTTCCACCTGCACATTGAGTGAGAAGTTCGTCACCCAAGTGAGTAATTCGACAGTCCATTTCTCTGCCGCGCGGCATCCACTGTGTTGCTGTTAGTGCAATTTTCTGCTTGCTTCCACTAAGGTCGTTGCAAAATTAGGTTCGATGGTATAAATGTCTCCAATCTTGGCTGGACCGTGGGAAGAGATGAATGATTACTTACCCGTACTTCATTTAGGTATGTTTCCTCGTGTCACTTTCCTCTATGTTTTTAGTCCAGGCCTTCAACTAAAATTGCCATAAGTAGCTAAGTAGCCCATACTTATGGTAATGAGTTCATCAGCGAAATTCAAGAGCCTTTTGTCCACTACATTTTGCGTCAGCGCTTGTCAGCACTCTCGACTGAATTTTTTCAACAGGCTGAGCCGAACAGTGATGGAAAGCTACTGTCAACCATAACGCATATGGTGGTTGAGTTGCAACAGGCCCCTTTCTCGGTCTGCGACTCCATATAGATTAGTTGATGTCTGTTGTCTCTGTCGTCTGGGCTATCGTCCAACGCGACTTCCGTTGAGCTTTGTTTGTTTATTTCACTACTAGGCCTCGAAATGTGGAATTGTGGAGAGTGTTCTATCATGGGTGCGGTTCAAAGCGATGGAAAAGCTGGACAAACAGTGCCACAAAGCAAAGCACGTCAAATTGAAAGGCATACCAAAGCTTGATGATGCAAATAACGCCGGCACAAAGCACTCTAGTCAATGCACCCTTATACTCACTGAAGGAGATTCAGCCAAGTCTTTGGCTGTTGCTGGTCTGGGTGTGGTTGGTCGTGACAACTATGGCGTATTCCCACTCCGTGGAAAATTATTGAATGTTCGCGAAGCCTCCAGTAAACAGATAATGGACAATGCGGAAATCAATGCATTAATCAAAATCATGGGATTGCAGTACAAACACAAATACGAGAACCCTGAATCGTTGAAAGATTTGCGTTATGGGAAGTAAGTTTTATTTCGTGGTCTTCCCCTCAAGAGTTACATATTTGAATTTTCATATAGGTGCCATTGGACCTTCTCCACCGTGACCGATTTGATGGATTATTTCTTGTTTTTATGTGCAATGTCTTTCCAGTTGACCGCGTTTAGTTAACAGCATGCCGGCTGGGAGGGAAAGATAGTCAGTAGACCCTACTTGTTATCTTGATTACGCCAACTACATTCGAACTAATGACTACTGAACAAAGTGAAATTTTCCGTGCCGAACTTAGAGTGGATTATAACAACAGATGGACAACGTATAGCTTCGAGCAGAGGTAGGAAAGCTGCAAAAGTTTGCGTATCGTTGGTGCCACCAAGTCTCCTAATGTTGCCTGGGATTCTCCGCTCTGAGTTAGTGGAGGACGTAGTAGAGCGCCACTGTGCATCGCTATCAATACCGCCGCTGCTGCTGCTGATGATGGGGGTAGACATTTCGACTTGTCACATGGACTGCATACTAGCTATGCAATGGAAGCATATTACGTTTGGGTAATGTCTTTTAGAAAGCGGCAACTGAAGTCACTAGCTCGACCTATCTGTTTCGGTCCATATTTTCTTCCTGAATGCTTGAAGCTGTTAGTGCCAAGTTAGCATCGGTCTTCTTTTCTGGTCTTGTTCTCAGGGTTTCTCTCAATTTTTCGTTGTTGCAGGTCAGTTGATCATGTGCCTAAAGTGCTGATAGTATGCTTGAAGTTGTTTTGCTACGAGGATCGATAAGTGGATGTGAAGAGCGAAGTCCTACGTACTCATTTTCGTCGCTGACATGAACTTTTGGCTTAAATGTCATGTCGAGTGGGTCATCCTTTGTAGGTCCATTTATGTGGCAGAGTACGGAATTGTGAGCGTTGGTTGGTAAAATATTTATTGAATCTACTAGAGTTTTAGTTTAGACACGGTACAATAGTTAGCTGACAGATATCTAAATTATTCAGAATGGCCTGATGAAGAGGCTTGTGGGTGAAAGGTCGATGAACGAAAATCTGAAATGCTAAATAATGCTTAACGGTCAACCAGCCCGAAGAAAGGTTCGTTTGATGTATTAGTCCATGCATTTTTGATTCCAAAATCTCCCTGTAAAGTAGCGGAAAGACGAAAGGTTGTTTCTGAAGCCCAGGCTCGTGTCCCTTGAATTAACCATCTGACTTGCAATGCACCTGGTGTAAGAGTCCTTGGAGCACCCTACTGGTTACCTTTGAATAATTCAGATCACATGGATATATATATATATATATGATGTATATATATATATGTATATATATGAAATATAGGCTTGTCTACCTCCTGAACACAAGGGATAAGTCATCATCATCGACAGCATGACATCAGTGTTCAACACGGATACTTCACTGCCATACAGCCATGATGTATTTGAAAGCCCTACTGTAAAGAAAAGAATAGAGGCGGACGGGGAAAGGACTTAGTACTAGCTTACTATAATCATTCCGAGGTGCCTACACCTCCAGACACTTACTCAGGCAATCTGGATAGAAACTGACAGCAAGAATGCCACTGACATCGGTTGGCAGCCATATCTTGTGTCTCCAACCAGACGCAGTGGGGATCAAGCGGTCCCCATCCCGAAAGGCGAGTAGCACCGACATCACCGGAGCGTTTCGTAATCTCCTTCATACCGCTCTACCAAGTTAAATGTATGTTGTGTCGACGCGCATAGCTGATTCATTTGAGCCTCATCGGTGATATTGAGCAGTTTTTCGGCTGTGCTGGATAATGTGCCAGCAATTAAAATGCTGCATCATTTATTCCAGTGGGCCTAACAGCAACGTTTGTTGTGAACTTGTTCACTTATTGCCCTATGGTCCAGATATCAGTTACCGGTACGTAATCTCTTATTAATTTTCCTCACCCATCAGTCTCGAATTAGACTAGTGCATGTGACCATCGCGGAAACGTGATATGGCTCTCTCACCTTCCTCTTTGAAAGTTAGAGTTCTTGCTTAGCTGTGGTATTGGCTTGAACCAACTATCGTTTATTTCTGAAGAGCGTAAAAAGTAAAAGCAAGCGACGGATGTGGAAGGGTGATTGGAGAATATTATTCGAAGTCGTGTCATCAGCAATTCTGGTCAGATAAGATAAATCCCAATGTACGTAAGAATGTTTGGTGTGGAAACCAACAACCGAAGAAGGGACAAACAATGCTAAATGCTCTTCAAGCAGTGTTAAGCGTTAGCGCAGTCAAGACTCACATCAGGCATAGTGTCCGTTCTACTGGGTTCGGTGTGAGTCAATGGCAAGAATGTACACTCAACGCCATGTACCACGCATAAAAGTGTCGTAAGTACGTAGAGAGCCCACAATGGCAAGCAAACAAGCCACCGACTGTGACCTTAGGAAGTCGTAGTCCAATAACAGCCTTGGCGGATTGAAGAAAGCAGATCCCTCGATAAGAAGTGACCAGTTGGACCAATCGATTGCACGTAGGACTGACATTATGCCAGGGAACATTCATCAGCACCGTACTTTTGCTTCTCGTTCCACACTCACTCCACGCCCATCCGAGACTATGCTTACGTCTATCACAGTTGCTCGGTGCTCCCTACCAACTATTAGGCCAGACTTAACGAAAGGCGTCGACGCAGGTGCTCTCAACTCCCTAAAGGTGGTGTATACTAGGCGACGGGGACGTTGCGCGAGTTCCCTTGCAACCCGATTATGACGAGCAAATCTAACATCATGCGTGACTATCAGGACTGTAAAATGTGCAGCAAACTCTCCGGTTGGTATCAGTTTTCACAAAAGATCGTCTGGCCACCATGACTACGCCGAACGCTTGTAACTGCTGTTTTGAGCGGGTCGCATTGGAGCTGGAAACCGCGGAGAAATATCCGAGGGAACACTCGTTCTGGAAATACAAGCCATCGATTCGTGAATCTTGACCGTCAACGATTTTGTGCAGACTATCGCCCAAGCAGCTCTTCCTCGGTGTTTACGCATGCACCGTTGACTCGCATAGGAAAGATGAGATCCCGAACAATCTTGCTAAATGCGGAGTCGTTGACCATAAATTCATTAAAGTGAACTCGACGCTGGTGTACCAAGCCAGCCCTCTATTTGCAGCACTTTTCACATTCCTCACATGTGAACCCCACGGGTCTCTGCTCTCTGCTGGTTGGTAGAGGCGCTAGATGATTCGTATTGCACACTGTCGAAAGTAACCAGCACATTGAAACCAAACAGGGTGGTTAGTCCTGCATGGCGTTGCTGAACTCTTAGCTCACCCAGACTGACGTCCGGTCTACCCAGTCGGCATTACGAGGAGGTGGTTCAGTGCGCCGACGTAAATCTTTTCGCTTGATCACCCTAAATCATCCACATAACTTTGTCAGCCAACCCAACAATCCCGAAGTCACAGTGTGGTCCATTCGTTATTTGTGAGTACCAAATGCACTGTGCCCTAGTCCATACTGTCGCTAACTCAGTTGATATGTTAGATGCAGCTGATGCATTGTGTGCCGCAGATGATGTGTACCTCCTGGGCAGTTTTCCGCAGTGATGGTTACTCGCTTACATCGCGTCGCGTATTGGGGTCCCAATACCCATTCTTTGGAGAATCTATTGTGTGTCTGCTCAGTGTCATTCAATGTTCCGTTACAAATTCTGACCCGATAACCGTTGGTGCATTCAGGATTGACTTCGAAAAGAGCGATAATCGCACTGTAACGACGGGAACAATAGTTTCTTGTTTTAAGTTCCTCAGCTGGATAGGATGTTTTTGTTGCCGGTGTTATTTCTATTTCCTGTGTATATGTATGTATTCGACCGAGAAATGGGTGTCCAGCGGATCAGGCGTTGGTAGCCAATAACTGTTTGTTGAGTACTAACTAGGTTTTGCTTCCTGTTGCAGCGTACATACAGAATCTTATTAGCCACAATAGAGGCCATTGGCTTATCCGTGCAGTTACCCCTTTGCTGATAGATTCTCGCTTTATTCTAAATGACTTCCAACTTGAAAAGCTATTCCTTGGTTCCGGCATCTGCTAGCCATTTTTCTTATATCCTTTATTTCAGGATAATGATTATGACTGATCAGGATCAGGATGGCTCCCACATCAAAGGATTAATAATCAACTTCGTTCATTGTAACTGGCCAAACCTACTCAAACACAACGTCCTGGAAGAGTTCATCACACCCATAGTGAAAGTTTTTAAAGGCAAAGATGAACTATCTTTTTATAGCCTACCGGAATTTGAGGAATGGCAACGGTCTACGACCAACTGGCACACATGGCGCATAAAGTACTACAAAGGTATGGCTCTTTTGATTGCTGTAGCCACGTGAGTTTCATCTTACCTGGAGCTCTGTCTTACTTCGGTTTCAGTGTACTTGACGCCAATATTCTTGGCTGCAGGTGACCATGTTTTGCGTTCACCGGGACCTTTCTAACTAATTCTATCATGTTTCGCAAATTCACATAGTCACCTAATTGAATTTTCACACAACTAGGACTCCTTTTTATCGCGATCCTCAATTTCACCTCAGCTGAACATGTTCTACTCCCGAGCGGCATTATGCTGTAGACAGTGTTCGATGCATCTCAGTGGTCAGTTGTGTAGTCGAGCTTGTGATGTGAACTGTTGGTGTTACGAGGCACTAATAAAACAGTTCGGTCTGCTGAGTGCTGTTTGAGCACTGTTTACCCATTACTTTTCCATAGTCAAGTACCAAAAGTAGGACCATTTTTTACTGTTTAACCACATGGTTGCCGTGTTTCAATGCGGATGTCTTCCCAGAGTATCGGTAAGTCTTCGAAGGGAGTATTTGTAGGTATCCACCGGACCATGCATAAAACGCATGCTTGGATATTTTCCACAAAAAGTGATACAGCTGAAGTTCAAGTCGCCTTCTAGATTTCTGCGGTGATTCCAAACTTTGTGCCTTTCACGCTGTATGTGAGCGAACTCTAAGTCACGGTGCAGTCAAGAGAGCTTTTGACCGTCAACGCTGCCCTGTTACTTCGCCACTGGATGGGGGATATCGAACCTAACAGGCATCAAGCGCTTTTCTTTACCCCGTCCCCTCTGGCCAGTCACCTTTAACCCCCATTCGATCGGCGGAACGTAGTCTCCGTATATGCACAGCTATTATTACGGCAAATGATTCACCGAACCTGTTTCTTCAGTTGAGCTTCCAAAATCATAAAGTCGTTCTGTACGCCTTTTCATTTCCAACCTTCGCATCAAATCGGAACCCCCCGTCACTGCAGGAGACGGTTTTACCTTTTTCTCAGAACCGCTCAACTTTGGTACGCTTTGTTACTTTCCCAGATTGTTCCAGTTTCGGGTAATCGTTATTTATATAAGCCTTGTGCGCTCTACGACTGGTGTATTCCCACTTATTTTGTTTTAAATGTCTCAGTGTCCCCATTGTATTGTGCCTTTTATGTTGCCGTTGCATTTACAGGGGAACCCCGAGGATGGGGTTTCCCCTTTACCAGCAACCCGTCTACGTGACTAGTGAAAAATGCGGGGCGTTTCTGGTGAAAACTCGACCTGGAGCATGGCAACCGATTGGCTCGTCTGTCATGGGCAGTTTGCGATTATACTCATAGCAATAATTATTACGTTGTTATCATCAGTTGATTCGCATTGATTAGTGAGCTCCATTTGAGCTATCCTGAACACCATTGATCTACACTCAAAATGTCTCCGTGGACCTGGTCGGCTGTTTGGTTTCAAGGATGTTCTCTAGACAGCCTAATTCTTGGATGCAATTCTCACCCGTCCATTGTTTAGTCGTACACGTCCATGACTTGTGATCCCTGCTTTCTCACGAACCACTACTTTATATCGGATTTCTTCCAGGTTTGGGTACCTCTTCTGGTAAAGAAGCAAAGCAGTATTTCTCAGATATGATACGGCATCGCATCCGTTTTCGCTACACCGGCAGTGAAGATGATGCAAGCATTCAGTTGGCTTTTGACCGGAGCAGAGCATCCGAGCGTAAGAACTGGCTCACGAGTTGGACCATGGAGCGGAAACGTAGGCGAGAATTGAGTCTCCCAGAACCGTACCTTTACGGAAAGGATACTCGTGCAATTTCATACCATGACTTTGTGCACAAAGAATTGGTCCTCTTCTCCAATTTGGACAACGAGCGAAGTATCCCTTCGATGGTGGATGGGCTGAAGCCCGGACAACGAAAAGCAAGTAGCAATGCTTGACTTTTATCTCATTTCTCCTTATCCTCGGTCGATGAAACTTGCTGTTAAAACCATCGTATCCCGGCACAGGACTTAACTGTTTAACGACTCTTTAATGACTCGCTTACTTTACAGTGGATGTTGTAGGCGGATACCTGAACTATTCCCTCTTTAAGTAATCATTCATCGCATTCAGTTGCGATCCCTAAAACGGACACTACTTAGATCGTTTCTAGGCTTAGGGTAGCTTGGTCCTTCTAATTTAGTGGCGGTAGAATCTCAGTTGGCAGTTCCTTTCAAATTGACCTTCTCTAATAGGGCTTCCACTTCAGAACAAGAACGTCATCATCAGAGACAGCAACATCAGTCTTGAAGCATTGATGCTTCACTGCCGTACAACCATAAGGTTTATCTAATTACATTTAAAGCCTTAGAGTGGGAACGAGAGAAAAAGAATGGATACGGGAGGGACCTAATGCTGGTCTATGTCTAAGCCTAACTCACGTTCCTCTGTTGCGTAACTTCGCTCTCTCAATCACTCATCAGTCCAATACCTCTGCGGTTGACTTTTTGGAAGACACTATTGCCTCCTGGTATATTTGCGACATCTAATGAAGTTCTTTCACGTCCTATCTTTGTAGGGTTCTCCTCGCAGGCCTGCTATATTAGCTGCAGGTTATATCAACTGACCGTAATTATCCACACTAGTCGATGTAAATGTGGGCTTGGGAGAAGTAGACGAACGGTCTCGCTAGTTCTTGAGTCACTATGTCTAAATTTAATTTTACTGTTTTTTAATTGTTCTCGATTGTATTGCTGTGTATATCGTGCACACGCTGTTTCATTCATGACTTCTAATCGGTTTCACTTTCCTTCAGGTTCTGTTCACTTGTTTGAAACGGAATCTGGTGAAGGAAATCAAAGTTGCCCAATTAGCCGGTTCGGTCGCTGAATTGTCCGCCTATCACCATGGCGAACAGTCCCTACTTGGCACCATTGTGGGGTTGGCACAAAATTTCGTTGGTACGTATTTATTTGCCCGGCGTTGTAATGAAGCATCGAGATATCCTACGGATTGAGGTGCGATCTTGTAATCGAAAGGTTTTTGGGGCACATCTACGCTGTGACATCTCGACCGCTGTTATCTTGACTTGAGCGATCTAGGGGGTTCCAGTTGCATGGAAGCTATACCCTGAAAGGGAGCTCCGCTAAGCCATTTGGTCTTATTTCTATCCATCTGTGATCTGTTACACTTTTCTTAGGGGTACCCCTACTCCTCATAACCGAGGAGCGTACATGAGTTCAACATACTGCATTGCGTTGATCCTCTCTAGCTCTGTTTTTTATTGACGCAAGCGACTACCCGTGGGCGCGTTGCCAACATCATAATAGTCGGCAGCAACATCACGGTTGGACGCGAGTGCTGCGCTGTCACAAAACCTACCCATATGAATAAATCCCTGTTGTGAAACGGAAGGACAGTGTTGGTCTCTCACAAACGCTAAAATGTACAAGCTTGCATCGTTCAGTCGAAGAAATACTACTCCAGTGTTTGTTTCTACTTTACCTTCCGCTTAGGTTCGAACAACCTGAATGTACTGCTTCCGATCGGTCAGTTCGGTACCCGTCTGAGTGGTGGTAAAGATGCCGCCTCTGCTCGTTACATTTTCACTGCACTCAGCCCTCTAACCAGACTCATTTTTCATCCGGCCGATGATCCTCTGCTGAACTACCTGCGCGATGACAATCAACGCATTGAACCAGAATGGTACGCGCCCATTGTGCCCATGGTTCTGATAAACGGTGCTGAAGGGATTGGCACCGGCTACTCCACACGTATTCCAAACTACAATGTGTTGGAAGTGATTTCCAACCTTTACCGATTGTTGGATGGTGAGGACACACTGCCCATGTTGCCCAGCTTTAGAGGATTTTGCGGAACTATTCAGGTAAGGGGCAGTCGAATTTTGTTCCATCGGATAGTTTTCATTAGTTAGTTAGTTGGTGTTTGTTACCGTTTTTTAGTTGCTTTGTGATTTTCTCCCATCCTCTCAAACTTTTAGGAATTAGAAGCCAACCGATACATGATCCATGGTGAAGTTGCCGTCCTGGATGACGATACGATTGAGATCACTGAACTGCCTGTACGCACTTGGACCCAGTCCTACAAAGAAACGGTGTTGGAACCTATGTTGAATGGGACAGACAAAGTTCAACCGTGCATCAGGTAATTTCAACCCACTTCTCTAACCGCACTTTTGTTCCACCAAATTGGGGAGCGAGGTGGACCAAGTGGTTAGAGCGCGAATTTACTGACCGAAAAGTCCGTGGTTCGAACCCGACCTCTGCCTCTCGACTTCCCCTGTCTAGGCCTGAGCGACCTGGCAGTATCCCAGCCCTCGTGCCTTCTGCGTGCGGCGGCAGCTAGGCACAGCTGAGCAATTTATTTTATTTTACACCAAATTAACACTATAACCCAATCGCCGATCGAATTTTATTCATTCCAGGCTTTCATGCGATTAGCTTTTACTTTCTATAGGAGTAGGAGAAACAACAATTGTTTTGGGGTCGACTGACGACTCAGTATGACGGCGTAGAACCTCCTTTCAGGCTGTATAGATCCTCGGCTCAGATAGACACTGATATTTCTCGATCCCATGCTTCAATTCACATTTATAAATTCCGTCCTTATACCACAGTACTGTGTCTTTTCCATCTGCCTAAGATGATGCCAATTTAAAGGAATGAGTAGACAAGTGACCATTCTAGCCAGTAGCTCATAGCTTCGACCATCGTCTCAAAGTGTCAGCCTTCAAGCTTCTGTGGAGAGAAGTGTCACCTATCGTAACCGACTCGGGCATCGCTAGAGATACAGTCGTCCATTAATTTATTGCCTCGTCCGTGCGTTTGATTGTGTTGGGGTCACTGTCGCATTGAGCCATCAATTCGAAAAAATCTGTTTATGTTAGTCTTGGTGAGTTTTCGCAGTCTTGTGACGTTTTTTGAACAGAAGGTTTCTCACCATCCACTCACACGCCGAGAGAATTAGCTCCTCCAGTTGCAATGACAGCCTTATGACGTGTCAGGTATTAGGTTATAACAGAACGAATTATCAGGTATTGTGTAGGGAGAGTCGCTGATGCTACGGCTCTGCAAAATGGCGGTTTTGGGCTGGATCCGAGACAGGAGCGGTTATGCACGCCCGCTACGACTGCGCTGAGATCGCATGTAGTTTCACCGCTGCATCAACTTCGATTCGGTTAGTTGCAAATAATCTACGACGATTTTGCTTCCGATAGTCTCAGTTTCTGGAGTTATATATATTTTGCACATCATTTACCTCTTTATCCGACCTCTTTTTCAACTCTCAGTGATTATAAGGAATACCACACAGATACCACAGTTCGCTTCGTGGTTAAAATGTCAGCGGAGAAGTTGCGAGAAGCGGAGGCTATTGGACTGCATAAATTTTTCAAGCTTTCCAGCGCGCTGACCACAAACTCAATGGTCTTGTTCGATCAGCTGGGCTGTCTAAAGCACTATCGCAACGTGGACTTGATACTGAGGGAGTTTTTCGATATCCGTCTTCAGTGGTAAGTCCCTCCACTCTTCAGGAAAATTTTCCAAAAAGTATCCAAAAGCAAGTATGAACGGGCCTTCCTAAATCCACTCCGCGACCCGCGAGTATGTTCAGTGGTCATAGGCAAGTCTCATACATACGATGAGGACATATACAGGTGTCTCCAAGTTTGACATTCTTGGTGTATAGGTCTCTAGTTTATCCCAACCTATTGTGACATTTAAGCCCAAGGAAGGCATGAGCATATTAATTCTCGAGGGTAAAAGGATCTTGGTAAATTATCGTCATGTTTAAGTCGTTTTGGTAACTTTTGGACACGGGTTCATATGCTTTTCAAACAGCTAACTGGCGTCTCTTAAAATGTATGATGCTCCTCACGCTTTGTCCTATTGAGACAGCCGGTGATCTTTCCACTCAATAAAATACACAGTTCCCCGTTTTCTGGCGTAATTGTTCACGCACAAGTGTCCGTATTTTCCAACGCAGACTATTTTTTAACCCCTAACTGAATTAAACCACCTGCGTTCATCTGCCTGTATATCCCTACTACTGCCTACTGATGTCCGAGGAATTGTTTGCAATTTGCATACTGCTTTCTGAGTAGTTTATGATCGAAATAACCCGATGTAGGTATGTATTGAAATGATCAGAGCTGCTTATCTTCTACGGGTAGTACACATGGGATCGGAGCTCACCTATCGAATGGATCGTTCGGGTCGTAACTTAGCCGAGAGGTGGACCAATGGTGGCTCGAAGACCATTCATTGTGATTTTCCTTGACAGCAGCACTAGCTCTGAACACCAGTGTTTCACTGCAGTAGAGGTTAGTACTTACTGATGCGTTGTAATAGGTTGAAATTCGAGTCCGAGGTTTCCCGGTTAGTAGGCTGACTGAAACACTGGTGTCAGGGTATAAGAGTTGTTCAGGTAGTAGTTCCATCAACAACTCAGTTTGACCCGAAACTGTTCAGAGTACTATCAGAACAGTCTGATAAGTCGGTCATCCTAATGTATTGTTTCAGGGAATTGTTTGTCACCTCCAAATTGTGCTTTCATCTCTGCCTTTGGGATATCATCGATGACGGCGTTGGTCAGACAGTATTTGGTTGGGTTGATCCGCAATTAAAAGAACGAAGAATGCCACAATGATGCAGCAGCCACCGCAATACAAATTACTAATGCGTGTCATCTGTTTGATGGAAAGACTCCGGTTTGGGTGACGGGTAATGGAATGAAAATGTAACAAGAAATGTGACCAAAATCAAGGGTAATGTTGTGAACACCAAAACAATAAGTAAATTTTTTTCGCAATGGTTCATCGTTTGTCATCACGGTTGACTCAGGTCGTAGTTGGATTTTGCTGATTGCTTTCTAGGTCAACTGTGCCTTTAACAGCTGTCCCCCATCCAATCAGATGCCAGTTTTAGGCTGATTTTTTCCCGTACTCTGAATGTATACTGCTAACAAATTTTTGAATTCTTTCGATGTGTGCAGCTTATCTTATCGACGAGTGAATTTCACGATCTAACGATTGACTATTTGTAGGTATGAGAAACGCAAGTCGTATCTTGAGGGAATGTTGGCTGCGGAGGCACGTAAACTGGAAAATCAGGCTCGCTTTGTTCTTGAAAAGATACAGTCTCAAATCTCAATCGAAAACAAACCACGTAAAGAGTTAATTCAGATTTTGAAGAATGCTGCATATGACTCTGATCCTGTTCGTGCCTGGAAGGAGTGTCTGGACAAATTGGCCAGTCTGGAAGAAGAGATGGAATCCGGTTCAGGGGAGCCCGCCGAACAGATTGAGTCTGGTGGTCCTGATTACAACTATATTTTGGGTATGCCGTTATGGAGCCTGACTAAAGAACGAAAAGATGATTTATTGGCACAGCGCGATGCAAAACAGAACGAGTTGCGCGTTCTTCGATCGAAAACAGCGTCCATGCTTTGGCGGGACGACCTCCAGAAGTTGGAAGAAGCCTATAAAGTGAGTCCACATCTTGCCGACTGAGTCATTCACATGCAGTCATGGACTTAGTTATTTCAGAATCTGTACAAACCGTGGGTCTATTAGTTCATTAGTTCATCCGTTTGTGGCAACAGATGAACAGACTGGCTGCTTTGTTGCATTCGTCAATAGTTGGTCTGCAGAGTGCTTTTGTACATGTCCTATCCCCGTCATGTCTCATTTCTGTTTAAAGGAGATATCCCACTGCCACTTTCCGGGTGCAGTGTATTATCACGTTATACCAGAGTTGCTTCTGAGAGGCCGATTCACAATCTTTATCAAAGTGGTCATTGACAGCACTATACCTGTCACCGTGCTCGCAAACTCTTAAGTAATGGAATATCATTTCGCTATGTGTATACGCACTATATATATATATATATATATACCAAAATCGGTCTACTTGTGGTTCGCAAAGGGTACAGGTTTACTGTTCATGTTGCGGACAGACCACTTACCAACGAAAACCTGTGGCTCTAATGGATTCAAGAACACAGTTACTGACATTAGAGTTCTTTGGATCATGTCGTCGTCTCGTGGTTTAAATAAAGGTAAAGGTAAACAACTAAGGTTGTTTAATAAATTAGGTAGCAAGGCAACGGACAATTGATTGTCAATGCACCCTACATCGCATCTAATTGGATACTGTAAGACAGTTCAGAGGGCCGTTGAGCGCCTGGCTCGGTTGATTCTTGTCACTTGACCGAGACAGACTCAGCGCTCGTATGAATCCTTTTTGGTAGCACATTGCTGGATTTCGCAAATGTATTACGTTTGCTTCGGCTATATTTGAACCGATACTGGCAGTCTATTGAGTACTCGGTAGATGACTCATTCGGGTTGCTCGCCTGATCGGTGTCAATCATGTTGGGANAACCGCTGAGTATATTGATGTTCCGGCAAGAGAGAACCTATTCTTGTTTTTCATTTGCTAGTTTACTTGAACTTGTTACCTCATCTCTCCCAGAAATTCGAAGCTGATTTGGCTGCTGAAGACGCAGCCGCTTCAGCCGCTGCCAGCAAAAAGCTCCTTAAAGCTGCTTCCACGGGAGTCGGCAGGGCCGCTTCTCAGAATCTGTCCAAACGTGCTCAAGAGACCAAACCGGATCCTTTTGGTCGACGGGTCGCGCCAGTAATCGATCCCGATCTTTTGAAGAAGCTGGAAGCAAATCGGAAGAAACGAGTGAAAGCCAACGCAGAAGGTACTTGCCTAGTTCCCTTATCTGTGCAACGTTTTTTGTTTGTCGAATCTGTTGTGCTTAGTTGCAGTCTATCTGGTTAACTGATGGACTGTGTTGTTTGCATTACGTAGTAACTCATTTGTGTTCCTCAACTCAGGTAAAGCAAGTAGCCGCGTCTTTGGCCAATAGTGCAATGCAGCACAAACCAGACATGGAGACTAACAACTTCCTATTGCTCCCTACTTGGGTGCGCATCGACCACAGGTTTTTCTGTTCCACCGAACTTAATTATTGACTTGATTTGGTCTGGTGGGAGCATCGGATTAGCAATGCTGAGGTACGCTAGATGTTCTTAGGAAGAATGAACTCTTCCGTGATAGATGAATTGCTCATGCTTCATAGGTTACGCTGGTTAGGACATGTACTCCACATGCCAGAAGGCCGCCTGCCCCGCAGAGCTCTTTTCGCCCAGCCCCATGCTGAGTGGAGACGACCGATATGTGAACTGTGTATGGCCTGGCAACGAAGTACGAAAACACTAACCAGTAAACCTAGTCGGGTCAGCAACTGTCGCCTCCCTGGATGGGGATCTCAGGACTCAAATCATAAATGGTTGATGACATCGGCAGAAATGGCCTAATCGTGCAGTCAGTGGCGTTCGTGCATCAAAGCTATCGCCTTCAATGCGTAGCTACCCAATTTCTAAACAAACGGAACATACCTTCGCTTCCAAGGCTTGGTTGTATTTTCCACTTTCCCATTTTGCGGTGATCGAAACTGTAGCAGTTCGGATGTCGCACGGTTTATAGCCAATAAATTGAATTAGATTGATTGATTGATTGACTTGATTTTGCTACCGTTTTCCAAATACGAAGCGTTGTTGGGTCTATGTATGAACTCTTGAGTTGTGTTCTTTAACCGGATGTTCCGTGAGGACACCGCTTCACGATTTAGTTTGTCCCATATTCAATGTATCGAACTGTTTTTTCTTGGTGCGACATTATCTCTTGGGATATTGGATAGTCCAGCAGAATTAATCGATAGTATGACAACAAGAATGATCATTTCCTTCTGTCCAAACAGGAAACACTTTCATCTACTTGAAAACGTTTTAACTTTTCCCCCAAAAAATCAGACAATGGCGTGGACGTCAGTTTCGATGATGACGCAGACCTAGAGTTCGACGACCTTGATATTGGTGGTAGTGGTCCACCTAAACCCCTGTTGGAGCGTCTTAGTTCTGGTGGTGTGGATACGAATATAATGAAGCCTTCGTCTGGAGAGGCAACCAGAGGTCGTGGACGCGGAAGGGGCCGTACCACAGTAACAAAGCCTCGAGAACCAGGTAAGTTTTTTTGTCACTTGCTACAGCACTGCTTTAATACCAGCTCTGTCGTATCCATCTTCAGTCCCTAACAAAACTTAGCTTTCCATTATACTGGAACACGTTAACGCTACTATTCACCGCGTCTCCCACATCCCCAACTCTTAGAGTAGAACACACCAGTTTACTGTTTCTGTATCATAATACCGATACCTCAGCACCATACAGTGCAATTTGTCTTAGCAACCGTAAATTGGAAAAGTGACACTAAATGACCACAATTATTTCGAGACGCCCATACCTTTAAACATTCACTCAAGCAATGCGGACAGAACACCATTTACATCAATTAGTGGTCACTTCTTGCTGCAAGGCTCCGAACCAACGGGTGTCCCGAAAACCAGATTGCACCAACAGCATCCACACTTTTCATAACCTCCTATTCTGCAAATCCACCTGTAGCCCATTCCCGGATTCGCGTGTAGGCCTCAGTAGTTTTGCTATTTTCAGTTGGGTTGCCTATTACGGGCCGTCAGTTTCGCGAGACAGCGGTGCATTACTCTGATAGAAGGGCCAAACCGGTTGGGGAAGAAAACTGAGAATTTCGAGGACCGAGTCCATCACTCGCGTACCAGAAGTTAGCAACTATAGATTGAGCAAAAGGGATTGAACCCATGTTCCACTGGTCTGGATGGCGATGTTATACGTTCACATTAAACTATGGTTGGACAGCGAGCGGCGAACAACCTAAAATCAATCATATCCATTATTACCTTGCAGTCCTCAATTGTTTGTTGAGTCACAGAAATATCTGGTTTGTCAACTCTTCCTCGATTGTTCTCTCATCTCTTTTAAAACGCCGAATTTTCTTGGTCACTTAAGACAAAGTACTTGAGAGTTTGGACTGTTTCGTGCAAACAATAATGTTTGCAACTCACCAATCATGGGATGCGTATTACATGACCAGGTCAATAAAATCGCCGGGACAGCTTCACTTGTAGATCTGTGCTAGTAACGGATAGGTCATAAACCACCTGATTTATTGCCAGGAGTCAGATAGTGACCACGTGTTTGTAGCAGTCATCGGCTGCGTGCCACGTCCTGTCGGGTTTCAAAACAGGTGCAAGGAAAATCATGTGGGCCCCAACCAAGTAGGCGCGAAGGTCCCACAACGCTTAACTTGACAGTAACCACTTCCATTTCGCCTATCTCCCGCGAACTCCCAGGCAATAAGTACTTGGAGTAGAAAACAAGGCTTCCTTTGGTAGACGATGATCCCCCATACTTAATACCAGTCAGCCTAACTATCAAACCTTATCTGATGCTCAAGCGTATCTTATTCATCACTTACTAATAGCTTACGGCAGTTAGACACCGAAAGGGTGCCACAGCTAAACAATTTTTCATTATACTTAAAGGACGAATATTACTTCGACTATTGAGGCTCATATGGAAGTTGATAAACGAACAGCGCAAAGGCGGTTATTCATGGAGATTAAGTCGAATAAGGAGGCAT